ACTTCTAGGCCTGACAATCGTGTCGAGTGGAACAGTTTCGTGTTGAATGGAATGAGTTTGTGTCGAAAAACTCTTCATCCATACTCTATTCGTTTATATAAACGAGTTCAACTATCACATTCATACATGAATCGTTTATTAGACGGGTTACCTGATACAACCCCCGTGTGTCACTCGCTAAATAAGAGAATATGTTAGATAATTTTGAGTCCACATGAATAATCATTAACTTGCCACACATTACACATGTTTGACCTTTTTACTATAACAATAAATCATGGCTGAGCAAAAAAATAAACACTAAATGACTACAAAATTTGAATGATTCTAAGGGATGAGATGTGTGACATGAGACAGAGGCTGAGAGACCTAACTTGTTTTTTAAAAATTTATTGTACCACTGTTAATGAGTTAAACGGATTGAAATGAGTTTATGAGTTAAACACAAAAACCAGTTAGTTATTTCACTGGTCTGTTGAGTTAACTCGTTAACCACCCGAACCCGTTCAGACTACACCCAAATCCGTTAAATTCGTGTCGAGTTCGTGTCGATTTCACGAGTCGTGTCTAGAATTGTCAGGCTTACTCACTCCTAGACATCTCGCTCTACCAAACCTCTGCCTATCTCTCACTTTCTCTTTCCTCATCTCCCAAGCTCTTAGTGAAGCTCTCACCTACGATTGAGGGTCTTAGAAACTTTCAAGTCTTACATCCAACAAGTTTGCCTCTAGCCATCTCTTTTTTAGTGTATCTATAGGTTCGCTTTATAGATAGTGTAAATTAAGTCAAAATTTATTGTGTTATATTCTCTTATTTTGTTTGATTAAGTCAAAATTTGCAGTACAATCAAGTCAAAATTGACCCAAATCTAAAACTCCACTCCGCCTTCAACAAGGCAAAATCAGAGGCAGAGTTATATTAATTTGGAGTTGGAGATCAAATATGTGCTCTCCCTCTGTGTCGGATTCGGAGCATAGCCCTATGCATAATGATGCATTACTTCCATATGCCATAATGGATCCTGCTTCCATATATTTGTGTTGTTTCATTCTTTTTAGGGATCCAAATTTAGTGGTGATCCACAATAGGAGCAATGGGGCAGCTGCCCCCACTAGAATTTTAAAATTTTTGGGGGAATAAGTATAATGTCAAAAATTTTAAAATTTATTAGAGATTTGCCCCTACTGAATTTTTTAAAAAAGATTTATAGGTAGTTGTGATATTTTGAAAAATATATGGATCACTTATAAATGTCAAAAAAAATCCTTTAAAAGGCTAAATGCCTCCATTATGTGTTTGATTAAATTATTTTGATTTGGTATTTTGAATAGTTTTATTGTGATTGGTTAAGTAATTCATATTCTAAAGTTTAGTTTAATAGAATAATCATAGTTTACGTTTGTTTCGATTAGTTGTTAAAATTCAACTATATATGATTGAACCAAATTTTTTGGTTCAAAATTTTTTGTTAGTTGATTAGGTCTTACAGATAAATTTATAGTGAACTTTTTTTGTTGGCTCTTTTTGTATAACGCTCATGTGTATAAGTTGTTACTTTAATTGACGTTTTATTAATGAAATTATACTTTTGTAAACATTAGTAATTTTAATATTCATATGATTTAGGTTGCCCCCACTTGGCAAAATTTTTGGCTCTGCCCTTGTCCAAATTTATCGAGAGAGAATTATATGCAGAGAAATTTTTTCCTTTATTTCACTTGATTTAGTTGCCATTACACATTTTATTTTTGAACAAGCGTTACATTTTGTCTAGAACAGTCAAGGAATAATAAAGAAAAAGGCCAAGTTATAGAGTGTGGCAAGAGATTTCTACAACGGTAATTTAATCATTGGAATTATTAGCTACTGTAAGTGATTGCTTTTCCGGTGACATTTTATTGTTTCGTTTGGAATATTGTCTTGATTCATCTTTTATCATTTGGAACATAGGTGAATAAAATAGTATATTGAGGTTGTTTCGAATTAGTGGTTTGAAGTGGGTCACATGATGAGTTGTTACACGACAATGACTTTGGATTGGTGTTTATTTTTGATTTTTGAAGAGAAATAGAAAAAAACATTTAAAAATAAAAAAAGGTATCAAGCTAACATGTGACATTTTGACATGTAGTACAAATACTTTATAGCCATAATTGTTTATTTTTGGCTTATGCTTCATCCTCAATTAAATTTTCATTTCAAATTCTATCTTTTTTAACGTTTGTATTTTGGTGTCGTGTGATTTCTTCATTCTTTTCTTTTAATTTCCTCCCCTTTCTTTCTCACCAGCACCAGCAATATCGCCACAGCCACAACCACCTCCACCACACCACATCCTTCCTCTTCTCTCAAGTATCCTTCTTATCTTCCTCTCTCTCTCACTCTCACACACACACAGTGCTCCCCTTCCCCACTAACAACTCATATCCAGCAAACACACGACACAAACAACATGCACTGGAGAGATACAATAGAGAAGTTATGCGAAGCTAATGTCTTAGCATTGAAATTCACAATGACTTCATTTAATGAGAGACAAAATTGTGTTTTTGTAGATAATCATTGTCACAAAATTGTATTGGGGAGATACCAAAGAGAAGTTATGTGAAGCTACTAAAAATCTAAAGTTGGATTCCTTGGTCATGGGAAGCAAAGGACTTAGCACTATCTAAAGGTTCAGTTTCTACTATTTTTTTTTCATTGCTTTTTAATGATCATCATCTGATCTTTAACAATATATAATTTGAGTTACATATATGCCCTTTTTTAAGGCCTAGGCTTTCATAGAAAACGCACATTTGAGATTGTTGTCTATAATCCCTTTTTCTTTATTGCCTCTTTTCAATAGTATCTATTTGAGCCTTGGTCATGATTATTCATTTTGTTGGATATAGTCAGTTATTTTTTAGGGTCGAAATCTTTATTTTTGTATGCTTGATTTATTTTTTTGTCAGACATTGTCCAATATTCTTTTTTATGCTAATATCACGTAACTAATTTCTTTTGTTGGATGTGACCAGTAGGTTTTTTTTGAATACTATCCATTATATGTACATGATGATTAATTGATCTTTTTGAAGGTTGAAGAATCGCTTTCCGATTTTTAAATAAAAAAAAATACATCAGAGTTTGGTGTTTTGCCTTTTTTGTTTTGTTTTTGGAGAGCAATCATTTTATTTAATTTATATGTACTACTTTCATTTTCTTTATTTTGTTAATTTTTAATTGCATAAAACATTTAAACATTGAGTATTCTTGGGTGCATGCAATATGAATTTTTTGTTTATGGACTTCATATGTTGTTATGGAATTTGTTTACGTGGTTGCGTTAGTTGGTAAATGGTTGTGTTAGGCAGAACCGTGTAAATAGTGAGACATTTGGTAGCTTTTTAGAGTATGAAAATAAATTGTGCATGCACGTTAAAAATTTTCTGGGGACCTATTTTGAGGGGAAATTCTGGCCAATTTTTTTAAAAATATATTGAGCCTTTAACTTTTTGTGCAATAAATTTCTAATTTTTGGTAATTTTTGTTTTGTTTTTGGTTATTCACATCTTCAGGCACAAGCATAGGATCAATTGGACCAATCATTTTGATTTGTTTCAATTTTACTTGAATTTTAGACTTTTGTTGTAACAATTTTTATATAGGAGTTGATATGAATGTTCATTAAATGCTTTCTTTTGGAATTATGGGTTGGAGTTGATATATGCAGATCTATATGGATAAAGTTGAACTTTATTCTATTGTTAGTTTTATTTTGTTGTGGTAGTTGATAAAATGATTTTGTTACGACTGAATTGGGGTTTGATATTGAATTCGATAACTAAATTGGACCTTATTCTCTTTAAATTCATGTGTTTCTTAATAATTTGAAGATATGTACTAATTATTAGCTATTCGATAAATTATGTATACAAGTTGATATTTTTTTGTGTTATGTTTTTAAAGTAAACTTCCTCAAATTTTTTTAACATTGATTGTGGGTCTAGATTGATTTAAAATGGTGTAACTAAAGAAAAGAAAAAATAAATTGCTACTTGAAATATTTGTAGGCTATTGAAAATATTTGTATTACATGATTAATACTCGATTTTGTGTTGCACAATGTCATCAAGTACGAATTTCGTCCATTTTAAAAAAAAATGATTGTCACGATTTGATATAATGACTCGATTTTTATATTGTACTATGCCTCCAGACACGAGTTATTACTAGAATCATAATAATACTGAAAGAATCTTTTCAAATATTTTCATATTTAAAAAAAAAAAAAAATTTCAATCATTTATGCATGAATTAATGTAGAGATAATTAAGTGATATAAAAAAATTTAAAAACTAAAATGTGTACTTACTTAAAAATATTTTACAATTTAAAAGACTTAATTACTTACAAGTCCAGCCTGTGTACTTATATCTAATAAGTCCTACTAGGCATATCCACAACCAATTTTCCCTAAAAAAATTTTTATACAATTTTTATTTAAATGTAATTTAAAAAAAATACACATATTCATCAAAATTATTTTCTTTTAAAAAAAAGATCGGGCTATCGGGTTAGCCCATTAGCTACGGGCAACAAGAACAAAGGCCCATGTTCCTATTTCCAGGTTAATATGCTTCCCAGAAATTGCTGCAGGGCAAACCGGACATCCCATTGACCAGGTGGGCCGTCGGGCCGCCATGAGCTATTTGCAAACAAAGCCTTGACTCCGTGCCCAAGAGGTTCAGTAACCCATTTGGTATCAAAGTCCTCTTCGCTCTCAGCAACTTAATTCTGAAGAAACAAACCGAAAGGCCACCTTCTCGCGATCTGTCTCGCCTAATAAAAGCTCTCATAAACACCCTCCGATCTCTCAATTCCCACGTTGGATCTTATTGCAACCCGAGCTAATCAATTCTTCGTGATCGAGGATATCTGTGTGTGTAGAGAGAGATAGGGAGGGAGATCGAAGCGATAGAGCAAAATTTAAGTTCGCTTCAGATCTGTGATCATCAATGGAGGCGTCGCACGGAGGACCGGAGAGGGAGAAGTCGAATTCCTCAAGTTCTTCTACACCTGTCACATCCGTCGCTAATTTCTGGAAAGGTAGTTCACTTTTAATACTCTTATTCGCATTTTCTTCACATTGCTTGCTTTAGCTATCTGTTTTGGTTAAATCCGTTAAATTATTTTGAAATTTATGGAAGCATGGTATTTGTTGTTAATTCGATCTGATTAATTTCTTAAAAACAACTTTAATTACTGTTCATAGTTGGGAAGAATACTTGCTAGTTGTAGCTGCGAAGTTTAGGTGAATTCTTTTGGTCGAGTACTTGATTATTGTAGTGGAAAATATAGCCAAAAATTAGAGTTATCTTATGGGAAACAACCAGATTGGAGGATATGATATTTTTTGGACTTTTGTAATAATATCAAGTCTTATTCCTATTATGGCATTTTTCATTTCCGGAGTTTTAGCCCCAATCAGCAAAGGACCAGAGAAACTCTCTAGTTATGAATTGGGTATAGAACCAATGAGCGATGCTTGGTTACAATTTTGAATTCGTTATTATATGTTTGCTTTAGTTTTTAATGTTTGATACTAATGCACGAATTAGATATTAATGGATATGCTTATCAAGGGCATTAGGAATTTGTCACGGAAGAAAATTTATCATGTGACACAGCTGTGGTTGATTTGGGTTCTTGGTTCTCTTTTAATCAAGATTCTTTGGATAAAAAGTGTTGGGTCATTGACTCGCTGGTACTTTTTCATATAAGCCCGTCTTATGAGATAGGATTTTTTTCTTAGCTTCTTTTGGGCTTTAGTGAATGCACGTGAGAATATTCCCCTCTTTTGTATCACGTCGAGTTGGCTTGCATCATGCAAAGGCTAGCTTGTATTGTGAGGGATATAGCTAATGGTGGTTGATGTTTTTTGGCTTTTCTTATTTTGCATGTAATTGGGTTGGATTTCTTGTCCACCTTTGCTCATATTATGTAATGTTTTCTTCGTATTAATGGAATGTTGTTTCTTATCAAAAACAACATTGGACCAGTTTGATGGGGGTCAAACTTCAGTCTATTACTCCTGGATGTTTAATGAATGTATAAAATGAAGTTTCATGGTGCAAGATGCTTGAAGAAGTTTACTTGGCAGTTTGAAAAAAGGCTTTTTGTGATGCTTTGAGGACTTCTCTGACAGTGTGGTGCCTTCTCATAGATACAAAAGAGTGACAAAGTCACATGGAGTTTGGAAATACTAAATAGGTTTCTTTAAGGCAAGATGGCTTGAAACATCGACATGAGTAAGCTGCCCCAAGTAGAGTGCTAGATTGATTTAAAAATCAAAATTTTGGAGATAAGCTATAGTTTGTTTCTTTGGTGCTTCCAAAGGATTAGAATGGTGGGACTACCTTTGTTGTCTCTTCTTCGTTGTGGTTTACTTAGACTTGCAACACATGGATATCATCTAGGGGCCGTTTGTTTCAAGGATTAGAGTGGTATAACGAGGTGGTATTAGAGAAATAGTACGTGGGACCCATCTTATATCTTATTTGTGTAGCATTTTATAGCCCGTACTATTTTTCGGGTCGTAATACCGACCCGCTATGAACAGTAGTCATAATGTCTTGTAGATGGTCTTAATGAATACCACCTACCCGGTGGTATTATATGCCCGATACAAATAAGATGGAGGTATAATAGAGTAAAAAGACCCAACTGCCCTCATGTATAATTGTTTTTTTAAGGTTACAAGGTTACAATTGTCTTTTTACGGGTCATAGCCGCAATTGTTGACTTTTTTAAGTAGATATTACATAGATAATGTTTGTGACAAACAAATAAGGGGAACGATGAGATTATAGTTTAAGATCGGGTATAATATACCATTGGATCAGAGTGGAATGGATATAAAATCTTATACCACCTAAATCTTATACTCGAAACAAACGGCCCCTAGTTTTTGAAGCAGGTGAGATATCTTTTATGGAGTTCTTTAATCTCTTGTGGGATTGAAACTTAGTGTGAATACATGTTGTTCCTAGGGTAAATTGGAGGAGGAAAATTTTGGGTTCAATTTGTTGGCGGCCAGCCAAAATGATAAGCAACTTAAATGTCTGCTTAGGGCCCCAAAAAATGAGGGGCCCCATATTAAATTTATGGTCTTTATAGTATACACTAGTCTGGCCCAAAAACATTTTGCAATTAGAGGTTCAAATATACACATTCTCTCACTTTTTTTATAAATTTTACCCGGCAAGGGTCACATCAATTATCAATCACCAAAAAAATCTTGCATTCTCTCCCTTCATTTAATGCCAATCCAACCACTCTACATAATTACAAAATATACAAATCGTAGGACTACATATCTAATAGTTAAACGAATCATCTCTCTCTCTCTCTCTCTCTGTGTGTAATTTGACGATCTTGACTTTTTTTTTTTTACTTTCAAACGATATTAGCTTCAAACATATAAAAAATAGCATACCTATTAACGTAAGTAAACCCTAGGCTATATGTTCTCCAATAGTTTTTTTTTTCACCCGTTCATTCTAATCAAATGATAAAGATATTGAATTGTTTAACAAATAAAATTTCTAATTTTTTTTGTTTTTGTTAATGTGATTTGATCTAATTCACGTAAATGTTAGTGCTACTACATGATTTGGGAGACGAAAATTCATCGTGCCCAATCTCTTATTGAGCAGGTGTTGTTGTTTTATTGTTATTGAGCTTCCTAATATGGTAGATTTTTAATTTTGAGTAATCATGTATTGTGTTAACAAGGTTTGTATAATCTTGAATATATTAAAAATATGAATCTGGACGTGAAAAAAAAACAAGAGAGAAAATGGAAGAATCCATTCTATCTCAAAAAAAGAGTCCTTGATAAATTTCTCAAAAAAAAACAAGCCAACTTCAATTGAAAGATTAATAACTGAATGATCAGTTCCTATGACAAAACTCAAAAAAAAAAGTACGAAAGCCTCAATTGGTAATTTTGCATCACAAAAAGCTAGAAAAAATAATATTTGAAGAACCTTATTGTCATATTATGCATATTAATAATAAATTTGTAATTGGCCTTATTTCAAATTTTCGCTTAATAAATTTGTAAAGGGCCATATTTTAAATTTTCGCTTAGGTCCTAGTTTCCATAGAGCCGACCCTGATGGGGTCTTGTTATGGAGAGTACTAAGACGAAGCTTTTCCTTCATAAAAGGAAAATATATGTTTGAGTTTGGTTTACGGACACTTTGTCTACTAATCCTTCTTATTGTCTTCCTATCTTCCCTCTTCTTGCTTCTTGTGGTGATAGGCTGGTGTATCCCCAACATGTCTGTGTTCTACTTTTTTTAGAAATGTTGTGTCTACCTATCCGTGTTCATATTTCTTAGGTTCATTCTAAGACCATCTGATTGAGAGCATGCAACTCAAATTTTCCAAAGGTTTTATTCCTGATGGTCTTCATTAACAATTAATATTAGTAATTTATATTCGATGTTGTTTAGGGAGAAGTTATCTGATTCACAAAACCATATGGTGTGAATTTGATGATTTGCAGAACTTTAAGATTCATAAAATGTATTGTTTGGTTTATTCTTATTATCTTTTTGACAAAGAGGAATGTTTATTGCTTAATCTAGTGATTCATAATTTTATTTTGTGTTTGCAGACTTTGATTTAGAGAAGGAAAGGAGTATCTTGGATGAACAGGGGCTTAGGATAGCTGAAAATCAGGAGAACAGTCAAAAAAACCGTCGAAAGCTTGCAGAAAGTACTAGAGGTATTCCTTCTACTTTACTAACTGAAGTATGATTACTGACCCACCAACATTAACCAATTCCTGACAGGCTGAAATTGTGGTCTGGTTCCCTTCTGTGGACAATTGTTGGAATATAGCATGACTCCTGCTGTCCCTTTTTCGAAGATAAATGTAACTTTATTATTCACTTTAGAATGATGTTTGTGCCAAAATTCTTATATTTACCTATTGGCAGATTTCAAGAAAGCTTCAGCAGAAGAAAAGTTAAATCTGTTCAATTCTTTACTTAAGGGATACCAAGAAGAGGTTGATAATCTTACCAAGAGAGCAAAATTTGGAGAAAATGCTTTCCTCAACATTTACCAGAAACTTTATGAGGCACCAGATCCTTATCCAATTCTTGCTTCAATTGCGGTAAGCAATAGCTTTATTCATTCGTCTTATCCATTAGAAATATTTATCCGCTTCATTTTTCAACTGCTTTGAGTTGTACCTTAATTTATTCAAGTTGTTCCATTTATATTGTTTCTTTTGAATTTCTACTTATAAGCCTCTTTGATGCTCTTGGAGTTGGGAATGAGATTTATTAATGCTGGGGACCAAATATAGGAATTTAGGATTATTAATTATCAGATAAAAATAACTGCCTCAAAAAACCAATTGACAATATTGTTTGAAGTAACCTTAACCAATAAAAAATAACGGAGATTTTTGTCAGTCATTTAACGTTGCATATGACTTTTCTGTCACCATTTGCGAGCGTATATGTGGCTTAGGATTGTTTTACCTGTATTTATACCTGCAGCAGTCTTATGTGGGTAATAGTTTGAAACTGCTAAATGTCAATATAATGACTTGATTATAAGTTTTCCACCTCAGTTCAATTCAAATAGAGTGGCATCATGCCATTTGGCACTGGTTATGTGAATCTATTTTATCCATTATGTCAGTTTAGAGCTATGTTCTCATTAAAACCTGTGTGCAACCCACTTCATTTTTGGTCTTTTGTTGCCCATGATTGATGATACACGCAAATGGATGCTGAATGGCAACTTATACCAATCTTGGATAAAACACGTCTCTACCTCAAAATGCCAATTCCCTCGTTTGTTTTAGTTTAAATTTGTTTGCTTGCTTGTCTGTCTTACAAAGATGATAGACTTACTAATTTGTTTACACTGTTCCACCATTGGCCCCATTATTGGATGAAATCTTGGTAAATTTATTGCATTGAATACTTGAGTGATATGTATTTGATATCGTAAATTGAAATATGTCTAACTTATGGGATGGAATAAATTTTTTGAATCTGTTTTGTTGGGGGCCAGGCATGGATTATCTTTAACTTATTTCTGTGATGAAAATGCACAAAAGGCTTGGTATCTGAGGTGGTTACCAGTGGTTTTAATAAAGCCTGTGGAATTTGTGTTTGGATGTGCACTTGTGTCAGAGAGAGATTGTGTTTGTATGGAATTCGATTAGTTGTTTCTTGTCTCTGTGCAGGAGAAAGATTTGAAATTGTCTGAACTAGAGGCTGAAAATAGAAAGATGAAGGTTGAGCTTGAGGAATTCAGGACAGAGGCGACTCATTTGAAAAATCAGCAAGCTACAATAAGAAGACTCGAAGAGCGCAGCCGCCAGTTAGAACAACAGGTCATTGTTGAATCATTCGGCTTCCTGACTTATGCTGCTATACTTACATGAGCTCGGTCACACTTGTTTCTGTGCATTTGGTTTTAGCATTTTAAGTTATATCATGGTGAAAGGTGGTGAATATGCCAATTAAACAGTTTAATTAGATGATAGATGTTTAAATTTTTCTGAATTTGTTGACGTGTTGATTTTTCCCATCTTCTTTTTGTTTTTTTTCGTTCTACTTTCTTTGATGGCGGGGGGTGAGGTTGGTTGCTCTGCAGCTCACCAATGTAAACTCACGGTAGTTTGTAAAGCAGATGAACTTTTAAAGTTATGAGCGAAATATGTGATTTTTTATTTATAAGATGAAAGATCTATTAGTTGACTAATTCATATAACTCAGCTTGATTGATGCTTATGCATGTTGTTCCTTCAGATATTTCATCTGTCAAAGTGTGCGTGGAGACATTCCAAAATGTGAATAACCTAATTACAAGTGACAATGTTATACTTGTGTAAGCCACTAGATCATCCTGTCTAAATATGGTGTTGTCTTCATGGTTTATCTCTAGAGTTAATCATCATCAATCCTGTGTATTAGGCTTAGATGGTATTCAATTAGCTTGTTGTAATTCTCATTTACTCTATTGTCAGATTTTATTGCATATGTCAGGCTTAGGGCAAATTTCATGTTAGCAGACTACATGCTTGATTCTGTAGTATCTGTATTATAGTGAATCAATGGTACATTCTGGTTTGATGGGGTCTTCTTTTTAACGGACATGCCTTTTGATCTGAATTCAGATGGAAGAAAAAGTGAAGGAAATAGTGGAGATTAAGCAACGGAGCTTGGCAGAAGAGAATCAGAAAACCCTAGAGGTGTTGAAAGAGAGGTATTATCTTCTATGGTGGAATGGAAATTTAAACACTTCAGCACTGTTATGCAGTCAAGATAGTTTGTGCATTGTCTCTTGATAGACATGCTAGTTCAACATAAGACAGACACCAAAAATTTTGAGATTCCCTTCTTTACAACTTCAGATTTTTCTTGCCTTACTATGCACCATGGTTCATGATCTTCCTGTTTATGCAGGGAGCTATTGTTGCAGGATCAATTGCGACAAGCTAAAGAAAGCGTTTCCACTATGCAAAAATTACATGAATTTGCACAGAGTCAGTTGTTTGAACTTCGTGCCCAATCAGGTCATACACTAGCCTGAATTTCAATGTTTAATCAATTCAGATTCTATTGTGTGCATAACACAGTTTCAATTCACGCGTTCAGATGAAGATAGAGCCTCAAAGCAATCAGAAGTCAATCTTTTAATGGATGAAATTGAAAGGGCTCAAACTCGCCTTCTTAGTCTCGAGAGGGAGAAGGTGTGTAAAAAAATTGTTTGTTAATATAAGGATTGAAGTAGCTTGTTTCATTTGGCATCAACATTTTTTGGAATGAAGCCCTGTGAGTCCTATCAAAAAAATGATGTGTTTCTTGAATTCAGTCATTAAATAGGTAGTACAAGAGAAGATTGAGAAATTGTTTGCGGTAATTTGGGTTGGAATATTGACAATGCTTAGTTATAGAGTCTGGTGAATATCCCTAGTACTTAGCAAGTAGCTTTTACTTAA